CGCCTACGTTTAACATATAAGAAGAACGGGGGGGACTCGTCTACCCGCCTGTAGAAGAAAAAATAAGAACATAAGAACAATAAGGAGTCTGCAATAGGCCGGTTGGCCTGTGCATGGCAGCTCCTGTCGAGAGTTACTACCACTCTCTATCATCCATGAATCTATCTAGCCTCCTTTTGAAACTTTCCAGAGTTCTCGCACTTACTACAAAGTTGCTAAGCTTGTTCCACTCGTCCACCACCCTATTTGTGAACCAGTTTCTTCCTATCTCCCTCCTAAACCTAAACTTATCCAACTTGAATCCGTTGCTCCGAGTCCTATCCTGCTCGGATATTATAAGAACTTTATCTATATCCCCTTTATTGATTCCTTTCACCCACTTAAATACTTCTATCATATCTCCCCGCACTCTTCGTCTTTCTAGGGAATGCAAGTTAAGTTTCTTTAACCTATCCTGATATGGAAGGTTTCTAAGTCCCGGAATCATTTTTGTCATTCTTCGCTGCACCGACTCTAGTGAATTTATATCCATTCTTTAATAGGGGCACCAGAACTGAACCGCATAATCGAGGTGTGGCCTGACTGCGCAAGATATAGTTGCAATAAGACCTCTGCACTCTTGTTACTTACACTTCTAGATATAAAACCCAATAAAAATGCAACACTCAAAGGTCTTGTGGGTAACGAAATGAATGAAATCATACTGTTTTTTTGTTTTTTTGTTTTTTTTACTAAGGAGAGCAACAGGTACACGTGCAGGTAATATTAATGGTCATAGCTTCCTCCCCCCAACCAAGTCACGTGTTTGACTAAACCACCAACTGTACAGACTGGCATGACTCACGCCCATGTTCACAGAGCTTGGTTAATAGCCCCCCTCCCCCAACACACCACACCCCACCACACACACACCCCCCACCTCCCCCCTCCTCTCCCCACTGATTTACAATACGTGTTCTTGTATTTAAAAGCAGACTCGAGCAAACACCACCATCACCATTGCCTCCATCCCTCCCCCCACACCCTCCCACACCCCACACCCCACACCTCCCACACCCCTACACCCTCCCCACACCCCTACATTCCACCCACACCCCACAGTCCTCTCACTCCCTCCCACACCCCCCACACCTCACACCCTCCCACACCCCCACACCCTCCCACACCCCCCCACACCTCCTCCCACACCCCCACCTCCTCCCAC